ATTTTTTATGTCGTTAAGGAAGCTGAATTTTTAACATTTTAAAAGACGTTCAAAGGAAAGAAAATTTTTATAAATTGAATTGATTGTAAAATTGTCTTAAGAAAAGAATTAAAAAATTTAAATTACCAAAGGATTTATACCTTTCAATTTTAAGATTTCATGTCCTCTAAAAGATGAAACAAACATACATATCAACATACACAACATACATACAACAAACATACAACAACATACAAAACATATTGTATCTTTCTTAAAAATCAGTCAGAGGATTTTAAATCTGATAAATGATCTAACAAAGGCTATTATATCTTCCAAAGTATCAAGCTAAAAATTTTATATTTTCAAGGAAGCACAGGAAGGATTTATATTTTTAAATGGATCTACTAAATATTTTATATTAACCAGCAGATCCGTCGAGGAATTTATTTACCTTTCAAAAGTACAACCTTAGGATTTTAAATCTTTCAAAAAAAACTACTAAATTTGTCTATATCATCTAAAAAATCTTGCATGGAATTTCGCATCTTTCAAAACTTTAACCTCATAATTTATATCTCTTAAAAATATCAACCTAAGAATTTTTTTTATCTTCAAAGGAGCTAAGAAAGAATTTTATATCTTTCCGAAAATCTACTAAAAGATTTTATACCTTCCAAAAGATCTAAAAAGAGTTGTATGTGTGGTCAACCTTAAGATTTTATATCTTTCAAAATATCAGAATAAGAGTTTTTATCTTTTGAGAAACTAAGAAATAGTTTAGATAGATATGTAGAATAACACATTCCACAAGGAACACATTCCTTAAAGAACACATGTGCCAAATTTGTGTCTTTTATCGTGGCAAAAACACGTTGTTTAGCCTTACGGTCAATTAGACCAATTAGTCCAATAATAGCAAAATATAAAAATGAAACTTTTTTAGTTTCTCTTTATATCTCTTAGAGAGCACTTGATCAAATTTTGAAACTTCTTTCTTAGTTAAAGCATGTAAAAGCATTACTGTTTGTTCTTTTTCCAAAATTGAGATTTCAAGCTCCTTAACGATGCTTTTAAATTGTTGTAATATTAAGTTAACAGCTTTTTGAGGAAGCAGATTTAATGTTATGTAAACTATTTTTAAATGAATAATTTTAAAAACATCTGAGATCATATAAACATACTTCTGTNACATTTAATAAGCCGCATTAAAGAAGAAACGTTGCAATGCTACACGCTACATTAACGACGTCTCCAGAGTAACTGAATGACGGTTCATATAGAAATCGCAGGTATGCGTCTCATACAACAACGCCCTCTATAGTTCGTTGCGATCGCGAATATGCCTTTTCTTATTCACAAATAAAACTTTTATTTCAAATCATGTGAGCTAATTTCTGCCACAAATAATGCCATGCTGATCACAGCAATCGATTCACCAGTTTTAACTGACAGTGGAAAGTAATTGTTCGTTTAGTATGAATGTTCGCAAACCCGCTATAAACACGTGATTTCAGATAACTTCAGGAATACTAATTCTGTGGTGTTTTTTTTTAGCTCGCTTATGCTACGACGATTTTGTTTATCATTCTGATATTCTAGCAAAACGAACAATTACAGAACACACAATAAGCAACTTTCGTAATTAGAGTTATGAACTAGCAAACATCAATGGTGTTATCTTCAAATATATGAAAAAACAGAAAAGAGATATCCAAGCCAGAGGCTGAACTAAATCACTTGAGTGGAAAAAATTCAATCAATTGCCGTAATTATGTTATTATGAATGGCAATCAGATATTTGCACTAGTCTGATTCTTAAACATATTTCTATTGGACAAACATATTTTTATTGGTTGCTACTAGCTCTGATTGATCATTGATGAATTACTGATGGACAGGAATGCAAAGTCTTCAGCTTATACTTGTCTATCGGTTATAGTTTACTTTAAATCAATAGCTTCCGCTAAACCAATGAGATAATCCCGTTTTTTAGTTGTTTCTGAATTAAAAATACCATTAAAAATTGAAAATCTGGCTTTGTAATTTGTTAACAATTATATTCATTTAACTTCATGTTATATATCGTATAGGGGAGAGTGGGGTCAATTGTAACTGGGTACGATTGTAACAGAGCAAAACTTTCGAGTGTCGGGTTCTAGATTTGGTTCCTAGGTAGACATGCACATCCCTGCTGGCAACCATTTTTATGTACTTTTGAAAGAGTTACATCACAAAAGATATTTTCACGCTACGTAAGTACTTTTTTTGGTATTAGAATATTATATTGTAACAAAATAATTTTGGATAAACAAATAAAAATTATTAACCGAATATGGTAAGTGGACACCTTAATAAACATTTCAAAAAAAGATTAGTTTTGTTAATTAACTAGCATTGTTTTTAAGAATGAAGCTGAAATGGCGTCTTGGAGACGATTGTATCAATAAGTAAAGGGACGATTGTAACAGCTGAAAATAAATAATCTTATGTTTACAAACCATTACTTAACTCTTTAAGAACCACCAATAGTTTCCTATATCATTTATATTATGTTGCATGTGCATTATTTTATTTGTCACCTTTCACAGCATAAATTAAAATTTTTAACCCCTTAAAGTTAAAAGTTTAACCCTTTAGGTCTCTGCTCATTATTATTTTTACTCCTAAAATATCACTACTATTTTGATCAATAAAAAAATATATCACAACTATGATAATATGTATAATTAACTATGTTTTAGTTGAATTTATGAACTGTTACAATTGACCCCGTAAGTGGGGACAATTGTAACAAGTGCACGTCTGTCAAAAATTGGTAATAACTAATATAATAACATTTAAAATAAGGTATTTTTTTCTAGTAGAGGATAGTCCAGTTTACTCGTCTGTCAACTAATACTAATAATATATTGGATTTTGTGTTAGTTAAAAATAGTTAAGTAAAAAATGTTACAATTGACCCCACTCTCCCCTACTTAATGATATATCCGCACTAGTATATGTCCACTAGTATAGTGATACATATATCCGCCCTAATACATCCGCAATCTGGTTATGCAGACGCACGCAGTCACTCACAAATGTTTCATTTTACTATATTTTGGTTCGCTATTTTACAGTAAAATCAATAATCAACAAAATTTTCAATAGTATTAGTAAAAGCGCTGATTGTTAGCCGATATTCATTTTTTTGAACATGTCTTAGAGCTTAGAATCTATTTGGAATCCTATATGGCTTTATAAGGAAATAAAAATAAAATTTAAAAAAAAAGCACTTCCAGCGCAGTTATATCGAATTTTGCATGAAAACTGGTGACTGAGAGCTTTTATTACTTTTTCAACTTAATTGAAACGTGTGTAAAAAATTTGGCGCAAAAATATAAAATAATAACAAGCAAAAAAATTTTAAAAAGTCATGTTAAATTCTAAAAAAAAAGGAATTCAAACTTTAGCCACCCCTAATGAAAGACCTGATTAGAAGAATTAATTAACGACCATTGTCAACTTTCTTCTATCAAAAGGTTCCTCAAGATGGAATCATGTTAATATGTGTTATATACCAGTGATTTGGTATTTAATATTTGTAGTGGTAGTTATGCCACATTACTCCCCTTTCAGAATTTTATCAGTGACAGGATTCGATGAACGGCAACCAATAATAAATTTATGCTGTTTTTTTAAAAAAACTTTAATATAATTTTGCTCATTATATTTTTTGTTTATAGCATTCTGCTCATTTTTACATTCCAATATTGTTTATTGATTGGGAGAATTTATTTACTTCACCGGTTTTCTTTCTTTGAACAGTACATTTTTTAGCAAATAAACTGATTTTAAATGGGAAACGTCCATCATTGTTGCTAAGTTCATACCAGGTCCGCAGGTCACCATTGAAGGGGAATTAAGTATCGACTATGCCAACCTTCTTCGATCAAAAGATACCTCAAGTTAGACTCCTGTTAACGTGTCTTATATATGTACTAGTGTTTTGATATTTAATATTTGTAGTGGTAGTTACGTCACAGACCCAAATGATATGTTAAATAACTAACTACTGCAAGCTAAAGATGAGTTCTGGCTTGCTTTTGTAGGTAATAGCCACCCGAGTCTGAAAATTTTTAATCCCAACCCACCACAGCCCGAGGAACATAGGATTACTTAGAGCCCTAGTCCGTCTGAGATCACGATATACTTCTGATAAGTTTTATGGTCTCGCCCCTCAGCCATTAATATATAAACAAAATTATTCAAACTTTTTTTTACAACTAATTGATAAATTTTAAATTTTTATACTTAGCTGAATCAAACGTTTGTTTAAAAGTGCGTTGGCTGTTTTTTAAGTAAAGACGAAGGAAAATTTACAAGAAGCAAATTTATTTTTTGATTCTACATACGTTTCTCATTTTTTTCAAAATAGTTGCCAAGTTTTCTTAAGCACTTATAATAATTTGCAACTAGATATAGAATACCTTCTTCATACAAACTTACCGTCTACTCCGATAACCAAGAGGTCACGACCATTTTCAAGTTTTTGTCATCGTTATACTTGTTGCCGCCTAAATAATGTTTGAAACATCGGAAAAGATGAAAATCACTTAGCGCAGGGTCTGGGCTGTACTGAGGGGTGGTCCAAAACTTCCCTGCCGAAGGAGTTCAATAAAAATCGAGACTGAGCTGTGAAGAGAGTCAATGTCATGGAAGTTGCAGTTGACAGGTTTTTTTTGCGGATTAAAAACGCAACACTGACCGTACCTCATACGATATATAGATATTTAATTAAAATGTTTAAGGAATTTTTAGAGGCTTATTAAAAATAAGTATTCATAAAACTCCTAATTGTTTTGTTGTTGTTACTAATCTCGGAATCGTCTAGCTGCGCTAGATGACTCCATGAGTCCGAACACATCCAAAAAGTCCATAAAAAAAGACTGGAGTCTCGCAGGATCTCATCTTTACCGAACCCCAAACAAGTCAGAATATGGGCAGGGGAGGCCATGTCTGTCGAGCACCAATGATATTCAGGATAAGGTTTTTGGTTTGAAAGTAAGGGATCTAGTGTGACCACTCAAGAAGCGTGAAAAGGCAGTTTGATGGGCTCTCAGTCTAAGATTGAAAGATTCTCTCGGTTTTTTTGCAAAATACCAAGAATGGTTGGGAGGAGTTCTTATGGTCTTGTTTAATTTCCTTTTCGCCAGGGAAGAAATTTCTCTAAAGGTAAGCTTCCCACAATGAACAGTGTCTTCTTCGGCAGCGGATTTGGCCAGGAAGTCAGCCCTTTCATTCCCATCAACCCCACCATGTGAGGGAATCCTCTGAAAATGTATAGAATGGTTGGATGAAAGCCTGTCAAGCAGGTCTAAAATATCAAGGCTGGTCTGATCTCCGACAATATCCCAATTAGAGATATGCTGGATTGAGGCACGACTATCAGTCAATATCCAAATATCTTGAAAATGATCTGCCCGAGCAGCAAATTGCAAGCCCTTTCTGATAGCAATAAGCTCAGACCTAAAAACTGAACTACTCCTAATTGTTTTCGCAGTAAACATACTGCCGAACAATAAAATGTCCTTTCTTTCTTCTCTTTTCCTATTTTTTCTGTTATTTCTTTTCTTGTTTTCTTTTTTTTTCTTTTCCTTTTTAATTAAAAATTTAACGTTGATGTTTGCTTTAAAACTTATCAATTATAAACTGCATTGCTCGATACATTCGAAGGCATTTCTGCTAGAATAGGATTTATGACACCCTATGTATAAGCTAAAACCGCATAAAACTAAACAAACATGCAATGCATTAGTGTAATTCATAGTATTATTGATTGTTAGATGGAATCAATAATACATCTTAATGATACTAAAATATTCTATATCTTCCTTTCAACGATTTGTACTCTAGGAATACTTCTAGAATTCAATATATGTTTTGCATATTATAAATGCATGCATTCAGGACGCATGTAGTGCTCTAGGGCGCAAATAGAATTGATTATAAAAATTAATAAAATGACGTTATTTTTGTTTGATAAGCCGAACAAAATTTCTATGAATATAAATATTAATATAAATAATCCAATTGTTGTATCAGAAAATATTTATCATGATGTAATGAAAATTTGTAATTCTTCTAACAGAGTCTTTAATTATGAAATAGCCAAAGCAAAAACAACTGACCTTTATTTTTTATACATTTGTTTCACACTCATCACGGTTTTGATATAAATATTCTTTAAGCAATATTCCTTAAATACTTTTTAAAGTTCGTCAAATTTTTAAATATTTCTTTTTATATAGATTAATAGGGTGCCCAAAAATTGAATTATGGTCTGGACCTGGTATCTTTTTAAGACCTGCGCAACTTTTAAAGTTAATAACAGGACAACAAGATTAAAACATAATTTTTTCACAATATTCATGCAACGCGGCATGGATTCACTTTAAGAAATTTCCGAACAATTCGGAAAAAAAGAATTGACCATATCCCTTTTTTTCTTTTTTTAAACGCCTATTAATTTCTAAATGTAACGAACTTCAAAGAAATAAATTAATTTAACCACTTATTTACAGTCAACCAGGTCATAATTTGACGAAAGAATCAAAATCAAAACAATTGTCTACAATTGTGGCGAATTCAGCAAATTTAACGTTTATAACATAAAGCGTGCGAACTCAATTCGGTGGTGTACAGTTGGAAAAAAAAATTGCATTACCCTAAATAACTTCAGATCTAAGCATCGGATTTTCACCTACTAAATCTCTTAATGGCGTGAGTACCCAACCTTAAATAATTATTATTATACAACCTTATATAATTATTTTTAATAATTTATATTTTAAGTCACGAAATTTTATGTTACTAAATCGGACAAAAAACGTAGTCACTAAATTTTGAGCAACTAAATGGGATAAAAATTTTACTTTCTGAGGGGTTTAGATTTTTAACCCTGAAAATACGGGGGTATCTGTAATCCAGGGAGATATGCCCAGATAGTGTGATCAGGAGAACGGTCGAAAGTTTAGACTCCATAATGTTAATTTTACTTTTTGCGTATTTCGCTATATCAGGAGAACTTTTAAAGCTAATCTCTAAAATTCTGCCAATATCTTAAAATTTGCTTATCCGAAAAAATTTCAAGCAAAAAAGATTTTAATAATTACTTATCATTATTTCATTTAATAATAGTAAAAAAAATAGAACAGTAAGTCATGCAAATCTTTACACCATTCTAAAAAATGCAATTTTATATGGAAAAATACAAAATTTGGATGGAATTGGTCGATTAGTTCGTGCGAAATCAAACTTTAAATATGCGATTTTTTTAAAATTTGATAATTTAGAATGGAACATTGGAACAATGAAAACAATGGAACAGTTTAATTTAATACACGATTAACAAAATTATTGTATGCATTTAAAAACTACATTATGATATATTTTTTGTACCCTTTATTTAAAATATTAATATTTGCTGTAACTTAAATTATTTGTTACCATTTGAATTTTGCTCCAACTTGCATTTTCATAAAAAAAATTATTATAAAAATGAAGTATTTACAATTTTTTAAAAGCGGCAATATAACCCAGTTGTAGACACCAGAATTAAAATTTTAAAGTAAAAATATTATTTTCAAATCGGTGTTGCTGTTCATTTACGTCGCACTAGAGCTACACAATGGGCTATTGGCGACGGTCTGAGAAACATCCCTGAGGATGATCCAAAGACATGCCATCACAAATTTGATCCTCTGCAGAGGGGATGGCATCCCCGCTTCGGTAGCCCGACGACCTGCACGCGAAGTCGAGCACTTTACAGTAGAACAGTTTAACGAGGACCAATACAGCACACCCTCGGTCCCTAAGCACGCTGATCCAAGTGGTCACCCACCCGCACACTGACCGCAGCCAGTGATGCTTGACTTCGGTGATCTGCTGGGAACCGTGTCTTAACGATCAGTCCACTGCGGGACTTTCAAATCGAATATTCCATTTTTAGAATGTTGGCGTTTCAAGAGCTTTATTTCTAAGAGTTCGCGTAATACATTTAGTAACGCATTCATTTGCAATTTTGGCACTTATTCAAGAAAAATAATGATTTTAAAGTTTATAAGGAGGTAAAATAGTGAGAAAATTTACTTCTTTTCACTTCGAAGGTCGGGAAATAAAATGAATTTACAGGTGGTTGATGACAAAATGATACTGGCATCGGTTAATTCAATATTTAGAGACTGATTGAAAGACTCGGTTATTGGAAAACCACCGAAGTCAAGCATCTCAGGCAGCTGTCAGTGTGCGGTTGGGTGATCACTTTCCCTCTGTATGTTTAGAGACCGAGGACGCACGTAATAGGGTCCTAGTTAAATTGCGTTACTGTATAGTGCTCGACTTCAAGCAGGTCGTTGGACTACCAAAATAGATCAGCCATACCCTCTGCAGAAAATTAAAATTGCGATGACATGTCTTAGGATCATCCTCAGGGTTGCTTTCCACACTGTCGCTCTAAAGCGACCTAAATAAAGTACAACTACTTGTAGTGCCATATTTAGATAGTAATGCAAGATATGTATAGTTTGTCTACTGCTGTATAGAATATTTGGATTTTGAAATACTCTACTTGAGAAAGTGAGACAACTGTTTATGAGCACATGTAGAATTCAATTCAATTGAATAAAATCTCAAGTAGAGATTAAAACTTTTAATATTCTTTATCAATTTCATAGTTATTCGCTACAATATTATTAATTTAATTGTATAGAATTATTATAATTCCATGGAACATTACTATAACTTTTTCAACAATAATCCATTTTATTTAAAATATTTCGTTGTGTTCATTAGTTATAATGACAAGTTTCAGACGTTGTTTTAGATAGGAAGCCTAGATGTGAAATCTGAAATAAAAATAAACTATCAGAAAACATTGTAATGGTATTTCTCTTTAAGAACCTAATGAACTAAAAAAGAGGATAATAATTGAATGCTTGCTCAATCAAGAAATGAAGACCCATAAGTATTTTCGTTTTTATACATTTTTCCGAAATCCAATCAATTGCGTCATATGAGGTAGAAGATTATAGTCTGCTGAATATTGGTATTTCTTGAATAAGTGGATAAATATTAATCATCGATGATATAAGATACCGTGGATTAGGATATGATAAAACTCCTTAACATTAAGAAAAAATGTCATATGATTTTACCTTCCAAATAATAATAATTTTTTTTGCATTTTATTACTGTTATTAGCCATTAAAAGATCAGTTTTCGAGGAAAATCGGAGGTTAATTGGGACAAAAAGAATCAGATTTTGCTTTCATGGACTTGGTATTGATTTAAACCTTTTTGTTCCTTTTAAGTATACATTTGTTAGCTACATTTGTGTATTGTCATAATATTTGTTTTTTTATTTATTAAAGTTTAATATGTTAGAAAATTATCAGTTCCTTAAAATATTTAATTTAAATTTTATTCCTGTTGTACAATGTATTAACTTATTAAACTCACTAAATGTTGTTTCTAAGTCTTATTATAATAAAATTACCAAATTTCGCTACATTTATTGAAGTTTATCACAGATTATAAAACCATATTTTATTGTTTATTTTACCTAACGCAATGGTTTATCTAAAATTAGGGTTTTCAAAATTATAGTTCCTAGTACCACAAATTTAGTAAAAAATAAAAACTTAAAAGTAAACTCAATTGAATAAATAGTTCGTACACCATGATCTAAGGCAGCAGGTCCCATTTTTTTTGGCAAAGGAACTCTAAATAATCAGCCATCTTTCGGCGGAGCCCGATTTAATTAATAAGGTAAATTGTGTATTTAAAAACCTGTAAAAGACTATTTTTAAATGTTTTATTATAGGTAGGACGATGTTTAATAGTCCTATTATTAATAATCTTAAATTATGTTTTATGCCAGACAGTTTAATTTGCAGACCTTGCGCTGCATCTAGTCCAGTTATGAAATTTGTTTCTGGTGTATATACGTAAGCTGAAAATGAATAAAATAAGATAAATTAAGATTTACTTCGAAATGAAAACTTAAAAGAACTGCCATAAACGTTGAAAATGGATAATAATGAAACATATTTCGTTATTAGAGACTTTAGTTATATTATTTTGATTTAAAAACAGTTATGGGAAATACTAATGCATTATATTATAAACGCTTGTTCTTTTTCATAATTTGTTCAATATAATGTTATTAGAAAAATCATATTTTCTTTGAAAAATATAATTCCTATTTCTTAGGCTCTTTGCTTGATTAATTTCATAAATTAAAGATTAAATAAATTATGAATTATATGTTGGATCTAAATATAATCTGAGGTTTAAAAACTTATCACTGGTTATAAAGAGTACTTAGTCGCGGAACCCTTTTAATATCATTTAGGAACTGCTGTTCTAATATATCATTATAATTTTTTTCAAATTTCGCCACAATCACCAAATTTTATTTCAGATTATAAAACCATATTTTATAATTAGTTTTACCAAAATCATTACCACAACGTTTCGGTACAAATTATCGTGTTTTTTGTTCTACCGA